GGTCCAATTACTATTACTAATTGTTAATTACCAGTAATCGAAAGAGTTTCACTATCCATCTTTGCTGCTTTTCACATCATAACAGCTACTCTTCCGAAGTATACTTCACTAAAGGTCCGATCCAGGATCAGCTGGAATGGCTAACAAACGACCTCAAGGAGGCGAACAAGCCCGAGAACCGAGCCAAGCGACCATGGATCGTTGCGTTTGGTCACAGACCCATGTACTGCTCGAACATTGACAGAGATGATTGCACAACGCTCAAGTCTGTGGTCAGACACAGGTGAGGTGTTCAGTTACTTCTCTTGACGGAAGTGAATCCCTCTGCTAAAATGTTGTAAGCATAATTAAAACTTTTAACTTGTCGGAAGAGTTTGCCTTGAAGCGCTTTCTCCCAGTTTGAAGTTGCGCTAATTTTTCCATCGCCTCGTCTTCTAGTCCTACCTAACAGGCAACATGAAGTGCGCAATCAGTTGTCAAAGATCGTAAACTGTAGATAGTCGAAGGTAGACGGGAGTCGAAGGTGTTAGGTCGGTTTTCGTGTGATGGCTGAAAGACCAAAACCAAAGCGACTACGACGCCGGCCAATCACAAGAACTGAACACAAACGACATAATGAACCAATAAGAATACGAAGCAAATACATATAATCACCTCTAAGAGAGGGAAAACTTGTGTGACCAAGTCGCGTTTGACTTTCAGGGTTTGCTTCTAGTCGAGTAGCTTATGGGAAGTTGTAACGGAATACCTTTATTACGCAAACCCCCTTATTATTTATATAGATAGCTGAGTGTCCACCATGTGTGCACATCATGTAACCAGACTGAGAGACAAGCCCAATAAAGCATGAAACATAGGCAAGGGTGGGAAAACATGTTAAGGGAGGCAAGTAACGGGTGGCAAGAGCGGGAGAAAAATTTAAGGGAATTCCAGGACAGGAAAAACCATGTGACGGTCGAAAATCGCGGGAAAACATGGCCGGCCAGGAGACAAGGCTAGGACGCTAAATAAACATATATAATGGGAAACAAGCGCGAGAAAACATGTAATGGGAGACCAGGACAGGAGAGAGGAGAAGGGGAGAAGCTTGTTTCTAGAGAAAATCGCGGGAAAGACGTAAAATAAGCATGTATCGAGACGCCAGCGCGGGAAAACGTCCAACGAAACGCAAGTGCGGAGGGGTGTGACCAAACTACTCTGTTCTGTCTTCGCATTTTATTGGCTCGAAATCTTTTTTCTTATAGCCTGAAAACGTTGAACTATAATAGTTAGTTGAACTAATTGTTAAGCTGTACTGCAGTTGCGTTTAGCTAAATTGAACAGGTCATCGGTAATTTTGACTAGCCTTTCTGTTTTTGTCATCTCCAGCCTCGAACCGTTGTTTTTCCAGTACGGTGTGGATTTGATCATTGAAGCGCATGAGCACTCGTATGAGCGCCTCTGGCCAGTCTTCAACGATACAGTGACGGCTCACAACTACACCAATCCCAAGGCTCCAGTCCACCTGATATCCGGCGCGGCTGGCTGTAACGAGTTTTATGGAATATGTGTGAATCCAATGTTGGGACCAAGAGGTAGGCAATTTCGTTATAATGCAGCGGTTACACAAGGGAGTGTTCTTAGCTTACGACAGTTAAAAACACACCTAATTGGGTGGGGGTGTGCTGCCGTAACGCTGGAACCGTACCCTATACTAGACCGCGATCAGTTTGATTTTGTAACCCTATTCTACACAAGGCACAAAACCCCATACACTATCCCAGACTAGGTTGTATGTCAAACAGCCAAGAATGTCAATAGCAGCTACTGCAACTGAATGCAGAGTTGTTCATTTGGTGTAGCATATTGATAATCATCCAAGCAGCTCAGCAGAAAGATTTAAAATAGCTCTGATTTGCCTGGACACAGTCATGTTAAATTAACTACAGATATGTAAATAATAGTCTCCATTTGGCGCGAAAATATGCTCGGATATTTGTCCGCGGACATTATCTGTTCCTTAAAGCTCACAGTTTTCGAGAGCGTACATCTTGTTTATTATCCTTCAAAAATTTTTCGAAACACGCGCAGTTTTGAAAATTGGGGAATATCACTCGGATATTCCCCAGTTTTAGCTGGAGCATATTCAGTCACGTGATGCGTTTAGACCAATCGCGCACGAGCGAAAATATTTGATGGATTATAAGCCTGTATATGCTTGCTTGGCACAACTCGTCTTTGTGACGCAGTTTTCTTCCACGGTACGGAAAGTGGCATCGATGCTCTGACTGGAGGATAGGATGGGATTTTAGTCTATCAGTTTCTGCTGATAAGTAACTTCAAAGGAGCCCAAAACATGGCAGAAAATTTAAACTGTCCTCGGATTTCGAGCGAAATGCGATCGGCTCAAGCGCACTTGATGTTTAAGTAAGCGCGGGAAAATTCAGCACAGAATAAAGAACTATCTCGACTTCTAATTCCCCCCTTGAAACTCGGTAATACTACAGGCCCATTGCAGTTTGAACAGGTTTTAGTTCTAGTGGGAATGTAAGAATAGTCCTGCATCTTTATTTCGACTAAAACGAAGCCAGACACCCTCGTGCTCTACCCTAGTTCACGGTCTTCACGGAGGTTTCGGAGTAGACAACCCGCAGATAGCATTTGCCAGTTTGCATTGGATGATACCTTGGAGTGAACAAAGACAACACAGCGTAGACAGTCCACAGCGTAAGTA